GAAAAGAAACCTTTTGAAATCACGTACATATTTGTCTTCTGACGTTTAAAAAAATATCTATCCCCCCGTCTATCTATCTATCCCCCCGTCTATTTATCTATCCCCCCGTTTATCTATCTATCCCCCTTCTATCTATCTATCCCCCCGTCTATCTATCTATCCCCCCGTCTATCTATCTATCCCCCCGTCTATCTATCTACTCCCCCNGGTACTGAGTGTTTGCTGCCTGGCTGGCTGGCTAGCTAGCGTGGTGTAGCGCGCGGGAGAGGTACTGAGTGTTTGCTGCCTGGCTGGCTAGCTGCGTGGTGCAGCGCGCGGAAGAGGTACTGAGTGTTTGCTGCCTGTCTGGCTAGCTAGCGTGGTGCAGCGCGCGAGAGAGGTACTGAGTGTTTGCTGCCTGGCTGGCTAGCTAGCGTGGTGCAGCGCGAGGAAGAGGTACTGAGTGTTTGCTGCCTGGCTGGCTAGCTGGCGTGGTGCAGCGCGCTGGAGAGGTACTGAGTGTGCGCTGGCGAGCAAGCGAGTCGGGCAGAGTCACGCGATCTCTTTATGCGTCGTGAGAACCCGCAGCCGGCAACTCAGCCGCTAATTTAAGCTTCTTTTCAACGCACTGAAACGCTTTCTTGCGAGAAATAATAGCCGCGCTTGCGTTAAAGCTGCTTGCGCAGCAGCGCCCTGAATGGCTCGGCTAGCATATGAATGCTCGCCCATTCAAAATTCGCAAAGTTTGCCCGGCCGTCCTCGCCTGCGCACGCGGGTATGTATACAGGAGAGCTCGCGCGGGCAGAAATTGCCGGGCTTTTAACGTCTGGTTACGAAAGGACGCGCGGCCGTAAGGTGCGCGGGAAAAGAAGCGGAGAGAGAAAGGTGAGTGTTCTCGTCTGCTTACGGATGAGTGACGAAGCAGAAGGGACACGCTTAGATCTATCTTCGAGGGTTTTATCATGCAGCTATTTACTCGCTTCTCGTTTCTCTATATTAATATTAGCCATCGCCTACTCTGGTCTGACGGGGAATGGTTGTCAGCATACGTAGAACTGCCCTAGAAAATGGAGTGATTGATTATCAATATGCGGCGCTAGGGTCGAGTTGCTGACAGATAGACGGGCATTTTGTTTTGTTAATCACTTCTCTCTTCCTTCTCGGTACCCCCCCCCCCTCCTCTCTCTCTCTGATAAGCATAGATAGATAGAATAGTGATCAGCATACGATAGATTAGCATAGATAGATAAGAAGATAGTTGATAGATAGATAGATAGCATAGATAGCATTAGCAGGTAGTATACGAATAGATTAGATAGATAGATTAGAGACTAGCCATAGATATGATAGGATTAGTATAAATAGATAGATTTAGATAGTGCATGGATAGCATAGATAGCATAGATAGAAATAGATAGATTAGATAGATAGATAGATTAGATAGATTAGGCATTAGATATGCAGTAGTAGATATGATAGATTAAGATAGATAGCTGAGATAGATAAATATTCATTAGATAAGATAACAACTTGCCATATGATAAGATGATTAGCATATGATATGATAGATAGATTAGATAGATATGGATAGGATTAGATAGCATACGATAGCAGAAGATGAGGAGACGGAGCAGAGAGAGATGTAGAATAGTCATAAATAAATAATAGATAAATTGATTAGATAAATAGATCCTAGATAGATCAGATAGTAGATAGATTAGTGATGTTAGAGTTAGAGTGACTGCCGAGAGATAGAGATAGTCTTCTAGCAGCAGACAGAGAGTATGACCGTAGGGCTTGGGAGAGAGTGCCGCTAGGATAAGCCTGAGGACATACCGGGCTACCTCGAGAGAGGAGGGAGAGAGCATGATCGGCAGATCTGGAGGCGGGCCGTGCCTTCTCAGTGGACGGAGCGAGTGGGTG